TTCCCCCTGCCCCCCGGTTTCGGCCTCTTTCTTTCCATTCTCCTCCGCACGCCGGCGGGGGGAGGGGCGGCCGCGTGGAGCTTTTGTTGCCGGCGGCAGCCGAAACCAAAACAGTACCTAATTCTAAAACTACAAAAGATTCTATAATTTGCAGATCACCATTGAGTTGTTCAACAGTGCCAGTACCTGGCAAAAAGCTGTATCTAAATAATTCAAGCTGGCTAAGTGTAATGGTAACTAAATAAAGTCCTCAGTAAAAAAAGTTTTGTCTGTTGTTTGACTTACAAAGTCCCAAACAGCTCGAACTTTTAACAGCAGTAATGATATTGAATTTTTTCTCCCTTTTTTGTTTCGTCAGAAGGTTATGAGAATTCATCTTTCACAATCTGTGGGTAATATAAGTATTTTTACCTAGTTATAATAATTCTCTGCAGAAAGTTTTATTCACTTCAGAAAGTTAATTCATAAGGATCTGTGAGGAGTCAGGCTTTGTTTATTTTTGCCGTCTCTGCTCAAAGCAAGTTTAAAGTGAAAGAGAATGTTTCCAGCCTATAGTTGGATAAAGTCCTAAGCTGTTTGGTGAAAGTGTAGTTACAGGCAACAGGTGGGTTAAACTTGCCCTGTAATACCCTGTAATCCTTTCATAGTTTCAAGCACAGTGCAGTACATCAAATCAGCCCCCACAGAAAAAACAGAGAGGATATCTGTAAAATGAAACAGCTGTGGATTATGATATGAAATATACTGAAATATATTGAGCTAATAATTCCTGTGTTGTAGAGGAGAACTACTTTTTTGGTAGTATTAGTGGAATGTGGTAATCCAACATCACTTTCAATCTCTGTTCTCCAGTGCTAATAATGTTAATAATATTGTTCTTATATGTGCCATTTCTTTTACCTTGTGATGCTGCAAAATGTTTTGTATTGTTTTCAGAATAAGGAATTGGAGAAGCCTTCTGAGACTAGCAAAATGTTAATCTCCATGGCTAAAGAAAATATACCTCCAAATAGTCAACAGAACTATCCTTTAGGTACAGTATAATTTTTTTGTGTGTCTTATAGATTTAAGTAGCATTTAATTACCTTTGAGAATTTTTGGATTTTCTGTTTTTGATTATGATTACTATAATTCAAATGCATACAAATTCTTCAGTCTTCCAAACATTTTGGGATTGTGTGGATTTTTTTCTTTTTTTGTAGTTATGCTTTTTTTAATAAGGAAAATATGCCACGCGCTTTGTTTTTCTTCATGTAAATGTAGCTCCACTAAAAAAAAACCAAACCAATAAGCTGCTTGCCAGTCCTTGATAGACAATCTGTGCTTTCCTGTTGTATTTGAGTGGAGCAAAAGCTGTGGAAGTCCATGTTTCATCTGGATATATTCCCTGTACGTTGTGTCAGGGAAGTAAGGATGCCTTTCGTTCAGTCTCTAAGCTTAAATGTCTTAGTCCAACTTGGCTAAAAAGCACACAGTTAAACTGATTTTTCTTTTAAATGCTAGGTGTCTTGTAAACGTTTAGGCATAAACTGATTTTATTGCTTTTGTAATTTTGTTAGGATGTAGTCATTTATTATGCAAGGAAGGAACAAGCACTTAGTTTTGGTTGAAATCTTAACCAAGTGAAATGTTTAGATGTGTTTTGCTGTGATTATCAGTTTAATGACTGTTTTCTTTAAAAATGCATAGTGTCCTATTTTCTTCTTTTCTCTGTATTCTTTGTGATTTCTGTTTGAAAATGTGTGATAGTGTTGCTTTCTCCATTTTACTGTTTCTGTAATGTGCTATCTTTCCTTATTTGTCCTACAATCTTCTTTTTGTAGGCACTACTGTTGTTCCTTAGCTACACTTGTCTAGCTCAGGTTTGTCTTGACAGCTTTAGAGCTTTTCTGTGTCCTACTTCTTGTCAATAGGTAACTCTTTTCTTTCATGTGTAGACACTTTGACTTTGTACCTCATGAATTTTCACACTGTGCTTACTGTAATTCTGGTGTAATTCTGCAGCTTCCAGTGGGAGTAAAAGCTGTCCTTTTATTTTAAAGAAGATATGTCAGTGGATATTTGTTGTTGTTTATGTAATACCAATCTAATATATGTTTTAAATATATCCTCCTGCTACACTTAGTGTTATGTCCCCTCTATAATTTCAACAGAATTTGTGACCAGAAAAGTGCATGTCTTAAATTGAAAAATGGAGCCTGAGCTTTTGAATCTGGGGGCCTGAACTGGTCTTAACTGCATAAATAAAAAGATGTTTTTTATAAGGATGTTGTATAAGTAGAACTTCCAGCTGTCAGCAAGGCAAGCTCCTGTAGAATCTTTACAGGAAAACTTCACTAAAAGTTACCTGAAATGATAATTCGATATTCCTTGCTGCCAGAAGTCATAATGGATAAGCTTGCTTAGAGGACAGCACTTGAGTTAAGTGTCTGCCTCACAGTTTTGTCAGCTTTATTATGATCAGTAGGTTAGTCCTGGTGTTGAGAATTCTTTGCTTAACTGTGGAAACACATGATACAGAAAATAGTACACAGTAGGTAATATCCCAGTGGCTGTGACAGACCACTACGTAACAGTTAAGCTATTTTAATACTAAAATAATTTTGTCTCTTGTTGGAGAGCTATAATAGCACGTCATGTTGTGTTTGTTATTGTAAATTGGACTTAACTGTTGACACATAAATATAATAACACAGATAATGAAGTATTACAGACGAGAGGACATTCAGGTGGTCTTAAATGAAAATCAACAAGTAGGTATTGCTATGTTGTTGTTTAATTTCAGCCAGCAACTAAGCACCAGACAGCTGCTCGCTCACTTCCCCTCAGTGGGTTGGGGGGGAGAATCGGAAGGGTAAAACTGAGAAAACTTACGGGTTGAGATAAAAATTATTTGATAATTGAAATAAAATAATAAATTGTAATGAGAAGGCAAATAACAAAGAGAGATATTAAAACCCAAGAGAGACAAGTGATGCAAATGAAAACAATTGCTCACCACCAACCAACTGATGCCAAGCCATTCCCTGAGCAGCGGCCACTACACCAACCTCCCCCCACAGCTTTATATGCTGAGCATGATGCCATATGTCATGGCATATCCCTTGGGTTAGCTGTCCTGGCTGTGTCCCCTCCCAGCTTCTTGAGCACCCCCAGCCTACTCACTGTCGGGGTGGGGTGAGAAGCAGAAAAGGCCATGATGCTGTGTGAGTGCTGCTCAGTAATAACTAAAACACCCCTGGGTTGTCAGCACTGTTTTCAGCACAAATCCAAAGCATAGCCTCATGCTTGCTTCAATGGAGAAAACTAACTCTATCCCAGCCCAAACCAGCACATTCTATAATAATAATTTGGGCGCTGAACATATTTGGCTATCAGTGGATGGTTGTTGGTATTATTGGCTGGTTATGCTTTGAAGCAATGTCATTTCCTTTGGATCAAATTAGACAAGGGCTTGTTCCTTGGTAGCTGCAAAGTATGTTCTGTAGTTCTAGCAGTAGTGTTGAGAATCAGGCTGAAGGAAGTTATAGTTCTATCTCAACATACTAAATGCGTGCAAACTGTTACGTAAAAATGTGTTTAAAATCTTAACTTTTTCCTAAAAAAAAAAGTTGTCAGTGTGGTTGTGTGTGATCAACAGAATGTGAAATGGAAAATAAATACAGCAAATAGAGAATAAACAAAAGCAGAAAACCAATCAGAAAGAAGGTATATCTCTTAAGAATTCAGACAAATTGTGCACAAAATTAGGATGAATGCATATTAGCTGGAGTATTTTTGCCCTGCTAGGCTCTTCTAAAGTTTTTGACATAAGTAGTTTTCAAATCACTCCTAAATTGCTACCCATAATTGTTATCTTGTTGCTTTTCTGGTGGCCAAAAAAAAATCTTCTGTAATAAAATTAATTTTAAGCCCTCTTGTTCGAATACATCATGTATTTGAATCAAAGCACTTGATTCTCGCTGTTTCTTTTTCTGTGCTGAATTTTACTGGCTTCTGTGAAGTTACTGAATGAATCTTCACTCTGATGCATTAGTTGCTTTTGATTTTTTTCTTAGTTTCCTATAGTTAATCAAACAATAATTTTGTGTGAAAATAAAAGGCAAGATCAAGTAGCTGAAACAAACCATATCCTCTTCTGTATTCTATTCCTCTTTACACTTATCCCTTTTCTGAGGGATGAAGTGGTGCATTTTTTTAACGAAACTCACACTTACCGTATGTGCTAAATTAGGAGAAAGGTAACTTACAGGTTGGAGAAGCAGCACCCATGCAGATTTTGGTTAGTAGTTGAACTTTGCAAGTTGTTTCAAAATAAGCTATGACGTATTTAATCAGGTATTAGGTCCTTTGGTTCTACAGAACAGCAGGCTGACTCCGGTTTTGGCTTGTGAAGATACATTCTGACTTAGCTGAAACTATCTCAAGCCAAGCTAGCTAAGTGGTTTTTAACTAAGTACATTTCAACCTTTTATCTGTTTAGTAGTGGAGTGATTCCCAAGTTAGAAATTTTCAGCATTTGTATGATGCCATTTTTGCTGTACAGACAGTGATTTGAAACATTTGAAATACTGGAGTCAAACAGAGTACCATGCAATAAATTGGGACTGATGTAAATCTTGAATATCCCTCTCTTCCCTATTACTCCTTCCTACTCATTTTACGTAGACCACAAGAGGTAGAAGTACTTTCAGAGAAACAATAAGAAATGAAAAAATCCAAACTGTTGCAATCTGTCTCTTGTTGTATGGTTTTTGTGGAATTCACTGGCTCTCTGTGGAGAGTGGTGAAAGTGGCTGCAGAGGTGGACTTCTAGGGCAGAGGATATTTCTTATCAAGTACTTTAAAACATACTTTGGGAACAACAGAAAACTTGCATAGGATTGTATATGAAGAGTGCAGCTGCTATGAGACCTGACAGCAATCTTGGGAAAATACTAAATATGTGTTTTGGGTCTACGACAATTGAAAACACTGAGGTGGAAAGAAAAAATTATTATTATTGTTATCATATGGTCAGATTCCTTCTGGTTGTGTCGAAGCCAACGTATTTTTCACGTGCTTTGTGCTAAACAAATAGCTTGTTGTTTTCTAGTTGCGAAGTATGTTTTCTACTGTGTGATAAGCACAGCTTAAAATGTCTGAGTAATTTAGAAACTAACATGTCAAAGGAGATTTCCTTTGAAACATACACTGACAAAAGAAATATGTACAATATTTAGGTTATTTTATACTATTTGTCAAACTATCCAAATAAATTCAGTTTGTTGCATTTTCTTTTTAGTGGAGCGACAAAGTGCAAGTACTAGGGGAAAACTAACATCCAAAACCCAGTCCATTTTCTATGCTTTCTGCGCAACTACTCATACAGAGAAGGTGGTTTTTATTTCAGCTGTTCTGTAATTACTGGTTGCATAGTTTGTTTTTTTATTGCTGATATCTAATAAAAATCCAGATGTGGCTTTTGCAGGATGTGCTTTGTTATTGATACAAAGTAGTAGAATAATAATATTTAATGGCATTAAACTTTCAGGTGACTATGGCTTGAGTTTACCTCTTGGAGAAGAATATGAACGAAAAAAACATAAACTCAAAGAGGAACTTCGACAGGATTACAGGCGATATCTTTCTCAGGTGAAGCTTCCTGTCTGTTTGCCGGAGTTTAGTGAGTCTTTCAAAATGACTCTCTCATTTTAATTGAATGAAAATTAATAAATTCTGTGGAAAATCTTTGTAAGGTGGCATTCATTATGAGCAATGGCTGATTTCGAAGACTCAAGCAAAAGTAATTTCAAAATGTCACCACTAGGAAGGGTTATATATTTTAGACTTCTACAGATCTCATTGCCATGAGACTATATATCACTTAATGCATGTTATTCTGAATACTTTTATTTATTTGTCTCTACTTCTTTCTCAGTTTCTTCTTAAGCATTTAAAATACCATCTGTTACTTCCTTAAGTACTTAAATATTCTGTGGTCTGTAATTCAAGTAAGAATATTCCTATAATTAGTGTGACTCCATTTGGTAGCATCTTTTCAATTTTAGAAACAGGAAAACCTTTGATGTTCTGCTTAGCATGATTTATTAAATGTCACAGTAAATTTAAGATTGAAATCTTATGTACAAAATGGCATAATCTTGGGAATATGCTGTATCTCTGCTTAGTCAAATAGAAAAAAAAATCAGGAGTCAGGAACCAAATAATTTCTGTTGTCTGAAAATGCTAATTATCAGTGTCTTTAGTTCTTAAAATGAAAGCAGCGATTTGCTTTAAGAAAATAAATCTTTTTTGGTTAAGTCAAATATTTTTGAATGCAAGACTCTTTTTGAACAGTATCTTTTCCCTGACTTTTAGGGTATTTCACAGGCAAAAAGAAAGGTAGGGTGCCTGCAATATCAATTTTTTTTTTCTTCAAATTAGTCGCTTTTTGCTTTGTTTGAAAGCTTTGTGCTCTTTGAACTTAAAAAAAAAAATCATTACTTTTTTGTGGTTTGTGTGTTTGTGCATGCTGTAGTGATTAGTTGTGATAAACATCATTGTTTTGTGCAAAATGATTGCTTATGTTTATAATTTTCCATTGAAAAGATCTTTAAACACATGTTGATTTCCTTTTTCCTTTGCAGTTGCTATTGTTGCTGTCTAATGCTGACTCTACAAAAGTTTTTCTTTAGTAGACATTTGCTTCAATGCTTATCAGTTACAGATATGTTAAGAGTTCCAATTTTTTTTTTGCCTTGATATACATATTTTATAAAGCTGAAATAAAGTCGTAAACCCTGAAATATTGTAATATGTGATCGAAACCAGAGTCAGGGCTTTTTTCTTACCTATCACCGTGAAATCTCGTCAGTGGTGCTTAGGAAAGCAGTAGAGCCACTTAGTCAGCACTTATTGGCCAGAATGCAAGAATATGAGTATTGTGAGGAAAAAATAATACCAGACGCACATTTTTGCAAGCTTTGTTCAATTACAGCAGTTTTAAATTATTTATATAATTATACTGTCATATATATAATTTTCAAATTTAATGCTGTCCATCCAGGTGGTTCAAATTATCTTCCAGTCTTTTACTAAAGTTGTTCAATGTGGTAGAAACACAACCTTCTGTTTTTTCTGGGGCTTTGAATAATATGCGTATGATACAAATTAACTGTATTAGCATGCACTAGAATTCCTGAATAACAATAGCAACAGCAGAATTAACTGGCTTCTTAATCTCTAATCAAAATGATGCTTACATCAGTGTTGCTTCTTGTTTAAACTTCCATTTATTTTCAAAGTTAAGAGTATAGTGTTAAAACTTAATGTTTCATAATACTCACCAAAGTACCCCAATAATTCAATTTTTACATTAATTTCTAGTGTTCTATTCTCAACTAAACTTCAGTTTTACAAATCTGGGTTTACAAGGTTGTTTTTTTAATGTAGTGCAGGTTAGCTATATTAAGTTTGTAAGGCCTGACGAAGAGATAGGCTAACAATCTCTAATCTCTTTTCCCCATATAAAAAGATAGTGCAACTTCTAGCAGCTCTGATAGTGATAATATTTTGGTGAATAACTTGTTTAGTCTTGCTTATGTAGAAAATGCAGTTTCCATATGAGCTTCTAATTTTTGGCAAATACCTTTTGCCAAAGGTCAAATCAGAGGTAGTCTCTACAGATGTGTGAAAACACGCTTTTGTGTGAAAAGAATTACTTAAAAATGAGGATTACAATTTATTTACTTTTTCTGGTAAAAATAACTTAGTTCTCTGTATTAATCTAGTTGTCTCAGTGCTTGAATATTTGCATGGTTATTAAATATTTTAAATCTTTTAGTGTGTAGTTGTTAAATATGATTCATAATGATGTGGTTCTGTATGGGAATGGGTAGACCTCTTACCTGTTGACATGCCTTTAAGCTTTTAAGTGACGTTACGACATAGATAATGGAAGGAAACAATGCTAGTGAAATACTGTATGTAATCTTTTCCCCTCATCAGCCCATGCCACACAAATAGATGAACTTTTTATTAAAGATAATTGGATCTTTAAAACATAGTTGGTTGACTGAGAATGGCCCGAGGATGCTTTTAATGTATGAGTGATGCACGAAAAAGCCGCTAGACCTGGAAGCTAAGGACCTGTTCTAGCATTGGTGTTTGATTTGAAAGGCTGACGCTTTGACTTGTTGTGCAGCCCAGTTCCCAGGCTGTGGCCCAGGGAGATACATGGAGCAACAACATAGTGTTCTGTTCTGGAAGTGACTGATGGTCCATAAGGAATTACACGATTCAGTGGTGGGTCATTATCTTGAAAAGTTTGGGGACTGCTGGTGTAGAAAATAGATAGTGTTGAGATGCAGACTGGTGGCTGTGCTAGTGTTAGCATTGATTCCATCTGTTAAAACAAGAGGTAGATGTATGTTTTCTGTGGTTAGAAAAAGCAGTTTTTCATTTTAAGTATGGTAGTTCCTTGGAAAATTTCTCTTATGCTTGTACAGATGCTTGTGCTCATGCTTCTTGCTTCCAGGACAATTGAGTAATGGTGGGGTTTTTTTGAATAATTTTTTTTTAAATATACAGAGACTAACGTATGTAATCCTTGAAATAGCGTAATAGGGAAGAAGTGACAACCACTTTCAAACTCAAGCTTAAAGATTGACAAAGCCCTTTACTTTGCACGTTCCTTGACTTCACTTCATTTGTGTCTTCCGAGAGCATCCTACATTTTCAAAATGTGAAGGTTGTCGTCGGTCCTTATTTCATTAAATTGATCGGATTTATTTCAGAAAATATAATTCTTAGCAACTACTTAGCAAGTAATATTTGGTATTTTAAAATATATTGAATTATTTTTGTTTTATTTTTAATCTAGAAAAATTATCTGACTACTGGTGAAGTAGATCCATATACTCAGGGATTATCTCTTCCTATTGATGAGCGAAGGTCTGCCAAGGTAAATATTTGGAGGAAATTAAAGAAGCGATGTATAACTTGAAAATGAGCATGGATGTTTAAACTGTTGTGGAAAAATTATTTCCACTTAAGGTTTTTGGTTGGGATTTTTTTACACTGTTTAACAAATTAACATGTCTTGGAGGTGGTCATTAGAATGATTTTCAGAAAAGTGAAATCTGTAAGTTTTGTTTAGATTTTTAATGCTAGGTTACCTGTACACTTAATTTGCAGATAATTAGATGTGTAATTCTATACTGATACTAGTTTGAGGTTTGCTACTTCTAATTCACACCTACAGGGCAGTTGGTGTGTTCAAAAGCTCTTGTGGTTGTGCGTGGGTTTTGTTCAGCCACAGATGCTGGTCTAATAAAGCTGTTTTTCTTACTGTTATGTATACTTTTCTAATTTATTACTCTTCTTACTGCTGCCTGAGGATAATTTGAAATTTCGATAATATTTGCTTGTAGTTGTTTCTGCAGTGATACTCCTGTCAGTTCCTATCAGAACTAAAGGAAGTGTGCTTTCTGCTGTACAGTTTTGATGTCTTTGTATGCTTAACCTACCTGCTTATCCTCTTGTGATTTTTTTTTTTTTTTTTTTAACAAATAAATCCAGGAATCTAAATAAAATGTGATTTGTTATTTCACCTATTGCCTGCTGTTAATACAGGAATCTTCCGAAGTTCCAATCTTTGTTTGACAGTACAGATACTAAAGTGTTTGTGAAAGGAGTACACATTCTCTGCCTGTGTTTAGCCCCTTTGATCTCCCTGAGGTTTCTTATCAGTTTATGGTCTTGCTTTTGTATGCTGGAGAAAGATACCAACTGTAACAATCTCTCCATTACTGGAGGTTAGAATATGAAGATACAACATGCATATGTGGATTTTCTTAACCTCTGATCCATTTCTCTAATGCTTAGTATGATTCTGTGAAAGCCTTAATCAGTCTTACAGGGGTCATCTCTCCTCCTACCCTCATACTGTTGGCCTTATATTTCCAGTTCCTTTCTTGGGTTTGCTTGTGAATTGATCCAGGAAGTTGAATCAGCAAAAACAGAATTTAGCAAATATTTTTGCTGACACAAAGAACAGCACTAGTTGTTGTTCGGATGGGTCAAACCCCAGTGGAGATGCAAGCCAGAAGGAGAAACTGTGTTGCTGGAGGACGACAGGACTGCTGCATCCTTGGGGGTTTTATTTGTTGCCTTGGAGTTGCGTTGTTGCTCTGTGTTTGGGGCTATGCTGTCACTGTCATCTGGTGCAAGACTGCTGCTATGGAATGCTAGTCTTGCCCTTGCTGTGCTTCCTTATGCTTTTTGCCTCTCTTGTGCTGGCAATAACGTTTGGCCGTATGAGGAGCCAGGTGAGAACTCAAATAAGTGAAAATTGCAGTTACGAAAGAGCCCCAAACTCCAAATTGTACTAGGTTTAAAAAAAGATGGAGGCAGCAAGAATGAAATGCCCAGAAAAGGGAAAGGACTACTGCTCAGTGGCAGCATGCATTTATGCCAAGTTTGTCAGCTTCAAGTTCTTGTGAACTTTCTGTTAACCCTTGCGAGTAAGTGTGCTGAAACTGTGAAAGATTAAGTCTCTTTGATTAATTCTGTGGAAATTAAAGACATATCTGAACTGGGAACATGTCTGATCATTGATGGTTTTATATCATAGCAGCTCAACATTCGTAGAGTTTTTCTGTACAAGTACATTGTATCCTTTTTACCCATTTATTTATGGCCATTGCAGAACCTAAAAGCTACCAGAAGATGTCACAATGTGCCCTACTAAACAGTTAGCCTCTGGGCAGATAATGATTAGAAGTTAACATTTGAATTGTGGTTTCCTCTGTTAGGTAAAATGTGCAGTCACACAGCATATTGAATTTTCTGCTGAGTGTTTTGCCACCTGTTAAACACAATGCTAGTTTCTCAGCTTTGGAAAATATCCCTCAGGCAACTTTCATAGCTGTCTGCAGTTTTTATATTGTCACTGTCAGAAAACCTATAGACGCAAATTTTGGAAAAAAAAACCAGTTTGGGGGAATGTTGGTCTCATTTGCAAAAGTATTACTAAGCTGATATTTCCATGGTAATTTAGGCATAAATTATTTTTGTTCAAAATTTGTTCAGGGGAAAGTAAATTTATATATAATGTTCAGATTTTTTTAGTATCTTTTGCTTTTTTATTGGAAAATACTGCAGTGGAGAAGAGCATGATTCGTAATACTGTAATATAATTCTCTTTTTTTCATTTATATAGTTGTTGGAATTAGGGGGTGTAAGAGATGCCCCATGCTCTAAACATAAGGTACTAGTATCAGGAAATAATGTAAATTAGAGTTTGCTTTACCTGGAGACTTCTGTATTTCATATTATATTATGAGACTGTTGATGTACAATTCCTGAATATTTTTAGACCTGAGCAAGCTGGTTAAACGTTTTCACCTTGCAAAACCAGCTAGGACAATGTGGATATAGAATTTTTTTTCTTAGTTTTCCTTGCGTTCTTCGCACTTTTGACTCCTTTCGCAGTCAGCTTAGCTGCTTGTTTGGATTTGACAGTTCAAGTTACATCCTAAGCTGTAACTGACACATCTTGTCTATTCATGTATTTGTTGTCGTGTTTTAATTAGGAGTGGGGCAAGTCACAATTAAACCTTAACGCACAAAAAATATCATATGTTTAAAAATAATCTGTAAATACATTCAGATTGGAAATTAGAAAGTGATTTCTAGTTGTGAAAGGAATGAAGCTTTGGAACAATTTTTGAGTAGATTTAGTAGGAGGAAACCTAGCTGGTTTTAAGAAGGGGCTTGATACACAGTAGTGTGACTGACAGCTAGGCTTTCTGCCCAAGAAGCTGACTTCTACTTAGAGATTTCAGATTAAGAGAAAGTACTATCTTCAGATATGAACAAACATGTCAAAGCAATTCAAGCCCAACTTGGACATCACAAAGAAAGGGGAGGTCAAACACACAGCTCGCATGTATTCATTTAGTACTGCAGTTCTATGAATTTAAAAGCTACTCAAAAATGCAAAATTATGATGCTTTTTTCAATGCCTGTTTTAGGAGAAACTACGGATTGAAAGAAACAAGGAGTACAATCAATATCTCAGGAATAAAGAAGAATGGAATGAAAGGCTAAGGAAATTAGGGAAGAAAAACACAGAGGTAATACAGTTTTACTGAAGCTGATGCAAAGAACAACATAAATGATCTTGTCAATTGTTTTATCATTGACTAAGACATACAAAGCAAGACAAAATAAGCAAAGAATGTTGTTTAGTCAGGTCGCAGTTTTATTACTATATTAGCAAGTCTTGGTTACGAGTCATACAGTGTTCTTGAGTCCTACTTCAGTCATGTCTATCTGGTAGAAGGATGCTTTCATTCTTCTGTGTGTCTGAAGTAAGTCCCTGGATTGTTCTTGGTGATAAAAGTTGTGACCAAAAAAGCTGTCTCTGGACAAAATGCTGAGCTCCACACAGTGTTCCTTACCTTCTATTTGTAGCTGCTTTTTCCTCTGTCTGTGTCCAGTTCATGAGAAAGCAAGGCGTGTGCAGGCAGCTGTCCAGTATATGGTGCTGTGCATTTCTGAATCAAATAAAAAATGTCTTTACTACTGAACGTGAGCTAGACACATGCATAATTGAACTCAGATTCTGAGCTGAGGCTTTTGATTTGTGTGGCAGTAAGCTGCTAAGCAGCACGCAGCGGTTTGCTCACTCCCCGCCCCCCCTCCCTAGTGGTATGGGGGAGAGAATCAGAAGGGTAAAAGTGAGAAAACTCGTGCGTTGAGTTAAAGACAGTTTAACAGGTAAAGCAAAAGCCGCAAGCACCAAGCAAAGCAAAATCGGGAATTCATTCACTGCTTCCCATCGGCAGGCAGGTGTTCAGCCATCTCCAGGGAAGCAGGGCTCCATCACGTGTAATGATTGCTTGGGAAGACAAAACGCCATAACCTCGAACGTTCGTCCCTTCCTCCTTCTCCCCCCCCTATTTTTATTGCTGAGTGTGATGTCAGATGGTATGAGATATCCCTTTAGTCAGCTGGGGTCAGCTGTCTCAGCTGTGTCCCCTCCCAGCTTCTTGTGCACCCCCAGCCTGCTCGCTGGTGGGGCGGTGTGAGGAGCAGAAAAGCCCTTGACACTGCGTTAGCACTGTTCAGCAGTAACTAAAATATCCCTGTGTTATCAACACTGTTGTAATCACAAATCTAAAACATAGCCCCATACAAACTACTATGAAGAAATTTAACTCTATCCAGCCAAAACCAGTCTAACAGTCAACAGGGTATTTTTAGTTCTAGTTAGTGTTGTTATGAGACCCTTTGTTGTAGTAATCTAGAAGCAATTTATTGATCTGAGAGAGCCTTTATACTGCTTGTTAATTATAAAATCTTGTGTAGTATGGGTAAATTTTCTTTTTTAAATATTGTTGCCTTAATTTAGTGATGGACTGCAATAATTTGGAACTCTCATCTAGTGCAGGTTTGATTTAAGAAGGTTTTCCGCTTTTTTTTAATAAGGCATACAGTATTGTGAAAGCTGGGTCGTTCTATGAAGGGTCTTGTTTTTGTACTCAGAACAGCTCAAAGTTTATTGTCTTTGTTAGAACAATTGGCAAGTGCAAATACCCATGTATTCATAAGTTTTATCTAGAGGAATGTTTCTTGTCTGTCTGCAGAAAGATTATTTTCTTATGAGAAAGATCTTCTAAGTGCGTTGGAGTGTCATATAGTTGAAAACGATTTTAATCTGTGAAGACAGCTGTGAGACAGTATTCAGGCATCCTTTAGATGTTGGAATTCAATATCTGATTCTTATTGGCTTCTTCAGGGGTTGGAGTGGTACACAACAGTGATCCCTAGGAAGTATGTGGCAAAAACACAGCTTGTGTTTGTGCAACTGTCTATAAATCTCTAAAGACTTTTCTGCATATTTTGGCATTTATGTTTCCTCAGCTGACTTACCTAATCAAATATATTTAGGGAGTCAAGGTGTTTTCTTTCTGCTTTGTTTGTTATCCCATTGGACCTTTACGTTATATTTTTATTATTCTCGTGTAGATACAAGTTCGCTGTCATAAAAGAACAAACGGGGGAAAAAAAAATCTGTTGAGGATTTGTTGTTCCATCTCTGAGGGGTATCTGACTTGGAGTGAGAGTCAAATGAACGGGTCTCATCATTAACATATATGACCTCAAAAGTTTGATCCAACAGTTTAGATAATCATAGGATAAATTTCATTTGCAAGGAACCTCTGGAAGTCATGTAATACAATCCCCTGCTCAGAGCACTGTTAACTTCACAGTTAGATCACATTGGTCAGGCCTTATCCAGTTGAGTTTTGAAAGGATGGAGAATCCACAGTTCCTCTGGGCAACCCATTCCACTGCTTTAACTGCTTGATCTGAACTTTTTTCCCTCCCTATCCCATCGAAATTTCCTTTGCTGCAACTTGGGACCATTGATTCTTAGAAAACCACAATTCTGGCATCTCTGTAACTGCCTGTTAGGTAGAGACTGCAACTACTGGTTCCTCCTGCCCCCATACATACACCTGCTTAACCTTCTTTTTCTAGGCTGAACGAGCCCAGCTCTGTCAGCCTCTCCTTTATGAGCTGAAGTGCCTTAACTATCTCAGTAGCCATCCTCTGCGCTTTCTCCAGTTTGTTGGTATCCATGGGGTGAGGGTGAAACTGGCACGCTACACTAAAACCTCAATACTGAGTAGATACTGAGCAGAGGAGAAGGATCGCTCCCCTTGACCTGCTGCTGACACTCTTGCTAATGCAGCCCAGGATGTGGTTGGCCACCACCACTGCAAGGGTGCTCTGCTGACTCGGATTTAGCTAGTCGCCCACCTTTAGCCCAGGCCTTTTTCTGCAAAACTGCTTCCTAGGCGGGCAGTGCCCAGCCTGTACTGGTGCATGGCATTATTCTGTCTCGGATGCAGGATTTTGCATTTGTTGATCTTCATAAGCTTTTTTGTCAGCGTATTTCTCTAGTTTGTCAAGACCCTTCTGAGTGGCAGTCATATCCTGTCGTACATAGATCCCTCTTCCCAGTTTGGTGTCATTTGTATCTTTATTTTTCATTACATATTGTGAAGTGTGAGTCACTGTTACCTTTTGTCGCGTTAAAGTGGGCATAAGGGGAGTCTGATAAGCGGCAAAAGGAGAGCCCTCCCGTTGAGTCACGAGGTTCAGAGAAGACCCCCTTTCGTTCTGAACTCTCTGAGGAGAGTCTAGGTGTGGCTGGATCAACTCCTAGTCCCAGGCTTGGTCAACTGTTCATATGTCTAAAGGGTTAAGCCTGTAGCCACTTACCAGATTCAACTTGCCCTTCCAAGGACTTTCACTGAAACAGTTTTGCAAAGTTGAAACAATAGGTAATTTATTCAAGCGACAGGTGTCACGGATTCGGGATTGCTGTTGATAAATGCACTGCCTACAAAAGCTGAGCTCAAAGTAATAGTTTAGCACTTTTGTTAACAATGTGTTCTGGGGATACGTCTGACAAAGTCAGAGGCGCGACTCTTACCAAAAAGGTGTCCCTTCTTGGGGGGGCAAGAGAGGTTCAGGCCCGTCAACCTGTCCGTCAGGTGAAGTTCTCGCTTGGCTCCTCCTCCCAAAGAGAGTTTTCAAGTGCCAGTTTTTATATATTTGGAAGTCTTTTTGTGAGGTGGGACTAAGTCAATGATTGTGTATCGATTAGCTCTTGGCATGGAATGTCGTGTCTGTCAGAAGCGGGATTCAAGCAGTGTGACACCTTCAGAAGGGGCTTCTTGGTATGCGCATCCGGGGGCCATCTGTGCTTTATCAGAAGCAATCTCTGAAGCAGTCTCTGGCTGCGCATCCTCCGAGGCGCCCCACAGATCACTTGGTTTACAGTGATGGGCTGTCCCCCCTTACTTTTGTCTGATAAGATAAGCGCCAGTTAATTACTCCCTTTGTTAGCTCTTGACACCTCATTCGAGAGACTCAGTCAGAGTTTGTCTTTTGTCTTGCATTTGACAAGTCCAGCAAGGCCATCGATTACAGCTTTATTCCACAGATGAAAGATTAGTGCACAGAAATACTATAGGATTTATCCAAAACCATGTTGTTTGCTAGAACTGTGTATTAAACACTGGTCCAGAGTGTCATAGGGTTGTTTTTTATCCACTAATCTATTCTTTCTCATAGTGCCATCTCCTGGGGAGCAAAGAAATAGATTAAGAAATGGTCAGGTTAAAAGGTTGTGCTCACAGATAAGAAGCATTACAGACTTGCCTGAATGTGGATAGAATAAAGATCTCTACTTTCTCGATAAGGTGTAGAGTTCAAAGTGTTTCTTGACCCTTTGCATCTCTGACTCTGAAGGTCAAATTGGAGTTCATAATAGACCTATCCAGTATTGATAACCATTCTTCTGAAAAACATGATATAAGAGAAAGAGCCCTTTTTTTTTTTCCCACAAGAAAAAAAAAAACAGTTTAAATCCCTAGCTTTTAAGCCCTCCTTGAAGCGCTTACCTCCTATCTTTTCTCCAACACCTGTTTAGGGATTGTTTGAGGAAAAAGGAAACAAAGTTTTTCCTCAATGTGTTTTGACTATATTCAGATCACTTATTTTTTTTTTTTTTTTTTCGTTAAACAGAATGAGATGGACAGGAATAAAAAAGCTGTTGCTGTTACTAGACTCCAGCCAGAACTACATACAGAAGTACAGCCCTGTAATACAGGTGCAGAACCTCCCAAGAAGGATGCCTTTACTTCTACAGAAGGTTATGAAGAGCTGCTACATAAGAGATGGCTGGAGGAGGACAGGTATCATAGGTTAGATGATGAGGTTGAATTAACAAGTCGACTACTAAATAAAAGACTTGATGAAGATTTGGATGTTCCCAGTCGAAGACATCGTGGATTTGCTAGCCAATATGTAATTCCTGTTAGGAAGCATCACAGGCTTGATAAGGATCGTGATTTCGGTAGAAGATACTACAGAATGGACTATGATCCTGAGATAAGTGAAGAAATGGACCCTAGATTTAGATATGAAAGCGCTTATGACAGAAAAACTCCCCGGGTTTTTTATGCTGACAGGTATTCTTGATTCCATTTTCTCCTGTATTTCTGTAGTGCTTGTTGACAGCTATGGTTTGCTCTCACTGCAAATTAGACAAGATTCACATGTGAAAGCAGTTTTTTTTGTACTTACTTTAAAAAAAGGAACTCTGCAGAAATTTTTAGCAAAAATATTTCAAAATTGGACCAGTATCTAAGACTATACATCATACTTCAGGGAGCTGTCTATATATTATGGCAAACCGGGGATACTAAAGAAATTGCTCCAGAAAAAGAAGACCACAATTCAGTTTTATATGGAGTAGTTTGCTGGAAAACATGTTAGTATTTGAGAGCAAACCCCTGCGCTGGGAACCCAAGATAACATCTGTTTTCTTGGTCTGTAATAGTTACAGTAAGTCAATTTTCAGTTCAGATTCCAAAACTGGTTTGAGCTTCAGTTTCTGGTACACACCACAATGTGTTAGAAATGTAAAAATACATTTTTAAAAAATCCTCTTTTTTACTGCATGGCTTGCTAAATGGCAGACTTTAAACATACACGTAGTTGAACCAAACCCTGATGGTGTTAATGGGTGCTAATCTCAGTAATGAATACACAATTTGAATAAACATTTAAGAAAACCTAAATGAAACAGAAGAAGGTGTTTTAAATAAATTATTCAGGAGGGAAGTACTGTTCATTATTAAATAGTCTTTATTGTGTTAACTGATAAATCAGTTTGGTTACTTTGATATAAATTGTTCATCTTTTTCTTTTAGCTCACTCATTTAAAAGAAGAAAAAAAACCCCAAAGCATATAACCTTACCAGTCATTCAGGGTTTGGCACTCTGGCCACCTTTGGTTATTCTATTGCAAGAACCAGTTGCTTTCAAAAACTGATGGGTTGTAGTGTGAAATAGTACCAAACTTGAAGCAGATGTGTTTTATACAGCTAAATTCAAGTGAAATAAAGCAGTAAAGTTGCTTGTAAATAAATTTTAAAAAGGTGCTTGATGAGTGTTCATTTGTTCTCTTTACAGATCTTGGGAACATGAGTGGTGTAGATGCTTTTATTTTTTGTTTTTTTTTTCCTTCGTGTTAAGCCTGTTGCCAAAATTATATTATGGTGATTGCTTCAGTGAAGGAAACACCACTGTCCTTCCCTTGTTAGACAAAATAACCACTTTTTATTCTAGAATTAACACTTCTAGAAAAAACGGAAGGCGAATTGTACCACTATAAACAGTGTTAAATATTATGATTGTGTTTTACTGTTAGTTGCTGGTGGACTGGCTAAATGATCTTTTGAGTCAGTGTTTACAGGGATAATTTTCTGGATAGTGCTGCAGATTAATAACTGGGAAAAACAAACTCTGAAATGCTCTTTAAATGGAAAAAATGGAAACAGTGGTTAAATAGATAACAGGAACAAGGTTGCCCAGTTTCTGCTGAATGAGATTCAGAGAAGACAATGCAATAACTGTTCCATCCTGTAGTGTAATATTGGTAGAAATGAGCAAAGGAGGTTTTAGGGTAGGGTCTTCTTGTCCTACAACTTTTCAGAAAGAAAAATATTAGAAGCTTTACTTGGTGTCCAACAAAGATAACCAATGTCCGTATTTTTGAGACTAACAGCAAAGTTAATCCTCTATGTTCATTAACACCAAGAAGGATGAATGTTCTCTTTTTAGTATGTAACTGTTTGCCACTGTCTAATGCAACTGGACACTGGAGTCTAGTATTAATATTTAGAAAAAATATTTTAAAATTTTATCTAATATTTAAAAATTGAGTAATATTTAAATAAAAATGACCATCTGATAAAGTTTGACGGTTTTGTTTCTCAAAGAATATATATATGGAATTATGTAGGTCAAATATCAGCAAGGATGGTGTTTGAACCAGCAATAGACAGTATCACATTGAATAAAAGTATACTAGTTCTTAGTTATTTGAGAAAACACTGATGGTGTTTACATAAATGTTTGTGACCAATATACCACTAGGCAATTTGTTTCTTACTTGGAGAGGCCTCTGAAACAGTTTTAGTTGCAGTTTTCTTTTAAAAGAAAATACAGAAGAGAGTCGTCTTTTTGTTATTGGCAAACTTGGTTCATCTTAAAGGAAGTTGCTGGACCATGAATTGCCTGAGCTTGAATTTGTGCATTAAAATTAAGGTTTGGGTTTTTTTGGTGTGTATTTTCTACTTTGCAGAATTTTTATTGAAATTTTTTTTTTTTTAATTAAATGTGCTTTGTAATCTAGTACTTTTTTTTTTTTTTTTTTCTTCTTCACAAGGAGCTCCATGTAACCTTTTATGAACTATATCAGTCTCTCTTCAGGAAGGAGAAACAGTTACTGACAGTGCATCTTTTGAAGAGTTAGCATTTTTTTCCACATTTCAGGCAAAGTCAGCTTTTCCAGAACACACTTGATTCATGACAGAAACTAAATTCATAAGGAGAAATATTTTTATGTGCTGTGCTAAAGTTTTTGTGTTTTGAAATGGGCTTTATTAGTTCAGGGATGCAGGTGTTTTTAGTGGGACTTCTCAGAAAGGTTTTTGTTTTGATGGAGTCACAAGGGCTGTGGCGTATTTCAGCAAATAGAAATGGTGACGGGAAAGCGAGAGGAAGTGCAAAATGTTTTGGTTCTTGTGAGTGGAATGCTTTAGTCCATCCCCAGCAGCCAGGTCTGTCCTATAAACAGGGTACAGCAGCTTCTTGATGAATTGGGCCCACGTGTCTGCGCCTGCCATGCTGAGCTTGCTGCTTTTTGCAAAATAGGTTGCCTCCTGAATGCCAAGGTTTGTTTCTTTGCTTCCTCCCTGCATCCTTTCATCACGCTATGGACTAGGCTTTCTAATTCCTGACTGTGTTTCAGTCTTACGTGACCAGTGTTGTAAGTAGCAGATTGATCATTATCAAAAAGATGATCTTCAAAGAAGATCATGTTATGCCAAGAGGATGGATATCGTTCTTTGATGTTGTTCTGGTGGGTTGTTGAGATGCCAAATCAATGCTTAATAATCTGCTTCCATCCTGTTGCCTTTGATTATTTGGCTTTCATTTAAATTAGAGCTGGGCAGAGCTGGGCAGGGCTGTGGATCTTTTTACATAGAAGAATAAGATGGGTTTTTTTCTATGTTTACATAGTATTTTTGTTGGTTTGCTTAATAGGAAGTCCATGGCTCTGTCCAGCTCTGGAAAATAAGTAACTTTGTTAGCATCTGTTGGGTACTTTATTCTTCATTGAATACCTGTTCTTGCCTTATTTTATCAAGATAACTTGAAGTCCTCATTGAAAAGCAGTTAATTTGCAAGGCAAGAAAAGCCTGTAAATTCAACTACCCTAGATCTTTTCAGGAAAAGCTCCCTTGTGGCCATAAAATTTTTGGCATCTGGAATTATTTGAAGTTTCAATTATATTACTTAATATGTAAATGATTCAAATTTAGCTCCTGAATTTTTATATTCACCATGTTACCTGTCTCTTATCTTGATCAGAAGTCACCTCTCTCTTTTAAGTGGTATCAGGTGCATAGTGAAGTGTAGGTTGTCATTAAAGAAGGTTTTTATATCTGAATTAACTGTTTCACCAGACTTGCTCAATAGCTGTGTGCTGAAATCTGTTGTAGACTTTGTTGGCTCCTGGGGATTAAGAGCAGCAAGATCCGTTGTAATTGCTGCAGAGCATTCAGCATTCACACTGCATTTCTTATAACTCTTAACTAGGCTTGATAGATAAAGGTTGCATGAACGCAGGCTTGGGAATCCAGATTCCAGAGAGCTGCCTTGACAATGCTAGCAAAGTGAATTATGTGTGGTATTTTCAGAACTGGTTCTGCTGTCCAGTGTGCAATCGGGCTGAGGATGTATTTGCACGAAACTGCTGGACCTTCCATTTCAGGTTGGATGTTTTTGAGCAAGCATGGCTGAATATTTTCTATTTCTTTAAGGCCGTATCTGGATGGAACAGTAAGATATCTGCCTGCAGACTACAAATACGAATTAAAGGAGAGAGCACCTGTGCAGCAGATCTCAAGAACTGGAAATTCTAGGTGTGGTATACAGTGTATTTTTCTGATAATTGCACTACAAAATCACGGTGAAAGGAAAAAGTTTATTTAAAATCCCTAGTAAGTTGTCTGAAATGGCTGATAGTTTTTCCTGCAGCGAGGGTATAGCAGAACAAGAAAAACGTGTTTCCTTTGAGAACAGCTATTGAAGTTTACATGCCAGTTTTCTTTTTGAAACAATAGCTCACCTATTGTCCAACTGAAGACTTTTAGAATAACATGGAATCCTTTTTTGATACTAGTTTTAAAATTCCATCTTTTCCCCTCGTCTTGGTTTTGCAAGCCCTGACGTGATCTAAGTGGATGAGGCAGAAGCAGAACACTTGTAAAACCCTGACATAAACTCTTGACTGGCACCACTCAGTCTGTCAACCTTGCTGAAGAAGTGCTCAACTGAGTCAGTGTTTCTGATGGCTTCAGAAACCGCAGGCAAATGAGAACCGCAAGAAGCTCCTTTTTGCCAGGCGGTTTCTTCTTTTGCTTGTGATATTTCTTTGGATTTTAGGAAAGCTGTTTGTCATAAACGTGTCACATAGTGATGATGTAAGTGCAGCTATCGTGTTTCACACAGACTACAAGTACATTCTCAAGTTTGATCTTTCCATTTTCTTTTTTCTCTTTGCCAGAAATCAGATACAAATTAGTTCTTCAGCTAATGAACAGGCCAAGTCTGCAGGTAAAATGCCACGTGCAACAGGCCTTGTTCTTGGTATGTATAAGAACCTAACTAATGACACTGAGTTAGCCTTTCTTTGCATATTGTATTTTTATAATAAAATCAATTAAAAACTAGAAAAATCAGCTTTTTCTTTGTGCTAGTTGTCCTCAAGACTGGTAATTAAATACTGTTTACATAGAGAAAATAATAAAGCCCCCATGTTCCTTTTCCCAACTTAATTTAATACGGCTTTCTAACTAATTTTGAAGAGCCCAAGTTTCTTCTTAGATTTCATTAACAGTTTAAGGCCCAGTTACATTCTTAAGTTTTTTTTATAAAATGAAGTATAGGAGAAATATTAACCTCCATATTGTTAAAGCCACAACTTGGTATTGAATTCTAGTTGCAGAAATATGTACAAGAAGAAATGATTCTGATCATCTCTTACTGCTTAAATGTAGCCATAAAATTTGGCAAGGAACATTATTATTGAGAGCAGTAGAGAGAAATACTGTTGAAAACATAGCGTTCCTAGCTAAATTCGGAAAATTATATGGCAAGAATAACAAACTGTAGTAGTTCCTCAGATGGGAGCCTTCGAAGGCAAGCTAGGTTTGAATTGTGAAAAAAGTGACTAACAGTTGTCAGAATAATTTCTATTTATTTTTGCATTTGAACTTACCTGATCTGCAGTGCTATATGAGGCAGGTCAGTTTTCTGGAACTGCTTAAAGGCAGCATTAAAACAGTGGTGTTGTAATGGTCAGTCTCTCTGATCTGTTCAGTCAGCCGATTTGTAGCAACCTGAGTGCACAAAGTTGTGCATTTGTATATCTAGCAGTCCTGGTTAGGAGAAGAATATTGCTAACGATGTTGTATAAAGGTTAAGTAAATTAAAACCTGACATTCTTGGAAATGAGAAGTGATTTCAGACTCCTAAAAAATCACAAAACATGAGGTTATCTTGCAAGTTTTGGTCACTTTACAGTCCCAGCATGATAATTGAATAAAAAATTCAGTCAGTCCTGCGTAATTTTTGTTGTTTTTGTTTTTTGTTTTAGTTTCTTTGCAGCTTGCTTCAATTTATTGTTCAGGTCTGCTTCACTGCAGATCGACGGTGCCTTTGTGTATGGAAATATGTTAGGAGTCCTTGTGTCTGATAGTCATATTATATAGAAAGCAATGATGATTTTTTTGTTTTGTTTTTAAAATAATAGAAGACCCCACGCTTATTGTGGGGGAAATACCACAAGTTGAAAGTCTTTTGAGTTCCTTAAAATCCATGGGAGATGTTATCACTGTTTCCTTTTACATACACATATCTGCCGGTACTTTGGTAATTCTTAGTAGTCATGGGAACCATCCTAAAAGTGGAGCATTTTCCTTTCCTCCATGTGGGTTTGACTCTCTTCAGTTTGAACTTTAATTTTTATCCGGAGCAGTGCCTCATAATTTGGACTGCTGTAATAAGTCTTCCTTAGTTGAGCGTTAGGGGAAAAAAAGAAAAAAAATTAAGTAACTTTTTATAGTTGCTATTGTATCAATCATCGTACTCCAAACAAACTGTGTATTAAAGCTAGATTTATTTTTTTTCAAGTCAGTAAAGATCCAGCATTCTTATGCATATTCCCAGGCCATATACTCTGCTGTGTTTCATGTTTTAAATTGACTGAAATGTGATGTTTTTGCCCAGTACCTTTTGTGTATTTGGTGGAGCACTCTACGTAAATGTGTGGTCCTTTTCATTAGGTGGTCAGGACCAAGAACTTGTCCAAAGGAAAAAAGAGAAGTACAGGCAAGAACTAATAGAACAGATGGCTGAGCAACAGCGAAATAAGAGACGGTAATGGAAAGTTACTCTATTTTTAAAAGATAATGGCTGAAATTTAAAGGAATTTAATGAATTCAGTGCAGTAAGAACAGTTTTCATAACTAAGGAATTCCAGCTAACTAGGTAATATTGCATCCAGTTGAACTCATTGTGTGAGAGCTTTGGTTTTTTTACAAAGAAATTCACCAGCTTTCAATGGAACAAAGAAAAAAACAGATTTTTTTCATTAAAAAAACCCCAATTTAGTTTCTTAAGGTTAGAGAAGCTCTAAACGAAGTTATCTTTTTTTTCTGATAGAGGAGTGTCTAATTACTTTGCAAAGTTGAAAATGAATCTTGTTTTGTCCATCAATTTAGGAAAGTAACCTTTTACTTTCAAAGCACTTAACCATCTGTGGCTTATGCATAATAAGAAAATATATAAATCCCTTGCTTAGCTATTAGTAGGTGTCTGCTGAATGATAGTATGGATACATAAAGCCACATAGTGATATTAGTGAAGGGATAAGGAATTAAAAATAAGTTACTATTGACAGTTTCACTATGATGAAAAATTGTACATGTGGAACAAGCCTGAGCCCTGAAATTACAGTATAGTACTTATTACTGTACTATTGAATCATTCATTTCAATACGTTTATTAGAAACTTCTTGCTGTAACGTGAATAAAGATAATTTTTTAAGAAACGTACTGGAAGGCTGTAGTACAAAGCAATGTGGTGGTTTGTCCTTTTGTGTTCGTTAGATTTTTACTAGGCAGAACAGACAATAGCCAGATCCTTCTGGAGAGTTCTGTTTATTTACAAATAATATATAGTATGCTGCTGCCCTGACTCCAGGGGAAATCAAGTGGAATCATGTCTTCTGTTGTCTTGTATTTTTGGAGTTATTTTGACTCCAGAGTTGTGAGGTCCGTGCTTTGAAAGAATGAATATAGCTGTTGCTGCTTTCTGAGTTGATCTCTTTTTTTCTTCCTTAAAACAAAAACAGTGAGAAGGAACTTGAGCTCTCAGTTGCTGCTTCTGGAGCTCGAGACCCAGAAAAGAAGGTAAGGAAATTGGATTTTCTTTCACCTCTATAGACTTTTTTTTTTTATTACATGTACACTGTGGTTGCTCAGTCGCAACACTCTGTAGGGCTTTTATAGTATGATAAATGTTGTTTTTTTTTCTAATAGGGCATTAGCATAGAATAAAGTTGAAGTAAAGGATGATAAGGTTGTAACTCATTACATGTGCTTTCAGCTTAAGAGGAAAATATTTTCATGGAAGTCATCGAACATTTTCTTTTGCTGTGACCAAGCAGAAATTTTGTACAAGTAGTGGGTGTCATGGAAAAAATACTTGGTGTCCAGGGGTAGCCCATACATGCAGACATTAGTAACATTTTTTTTGGAATATAAAGTATGCTGTAGAAAGTTCTTGCTCATTTTCAATTAAAAAAAAAAAATTAGTTGTTTTGCAGACGAGTTGGTCTCATTGTAGCATTTTTAATTTGTAATTCTTTTTTAAACTATCAAATGTAGTGTTCAAGATTACAAGCATTTTTACAGGATTTTGTAAGAAGCAAGATGTTCAATATCGTGTTGCTTGCGAAACTTAATTCAGAGTTCCTACTGTCCCCTCTTCTTTAGTAGGGTGATTACTGTGCTAAGAATTTTGATCAGCATACATGAAGGAGTAGATTGTCAGCACTAGCAACGTTAGTAGCAGACTGATGGTCACAGAACTAGTATGGTGTGTGTGTGTTTGCAAAGTCCCTGAAGCTGTTGCATCTTGGGTGCAGTAGAGATCTGCTGTTGATGTACAACAGTAACTTCCTCAAGCAGGAGTAAACTGGTTATTAATTTAACTGGTTACCAGTTTAAATTATCAGTGGTGTTTTTTGGGAGAAGCTACAACACAGAGAGAAACTTCTGCCATTTCTGGAGAGTTCAGCAGAGGTGAAAGGAGCTCTTACTTTCTAGAAAATGAAGATGAGTGAATAGCTGTAAGATGGTATTGGCCAGCATGTGAGGCAGGAGACTGAGGATGCACGTAGATAAGCAGCGAAGCTGAATCAAAATTCTTCTTCCTAAATGGGGAAGGAGAACACGAAGTGGTCTGGGTCCATGTCCCTGCCCTCTCTGCTTAAAGTATCTATGGTGCTTTTTTGATCCATTTTGCAAACTGATTCAGCTTGGTTAGCTGGCAAAAATCTGAATCTTTTCAGCTGTGTTAGTTGGCTTAGGGAGGTCAGTTGGCTGGTCAGGGATTCAGATGGTGAAAGGGAGAGGGCTGGAGTGTACAGCTGGGAACCAGGCAGGAAGAGGGGGCAAACTGAGCAGACGATGCTGACTCTGTTGGCACAGGAGGCTGTAAGGTCAGTGTAAACAGCCTTGTCTAATCAAAGCTGAGTAGGCAGAAGCATGCTGTGCTGCAGCGCTCTGTATGCTGTACGTCTCTCAGTCAGAGATTGGAAAGTGCCTTGTAGGAACTTATAGAACCTTTGTAGGAACAAAATTCTATCCAGAGCAAGTCCAGGGCATGTATAATGTTTTAAAACCATTAATTTAGCTGAAAGCCTTCAATTAAGTAGAATTACTACATTCATTAGGCATCAGTCACTGTTAGCTTTAAATTGGCTCTCGTGGAGAGATTCTAATTAGGTGGATTTCTTGATTAATTACAGGTTGGTTAAACAGCAATGCGTGATTAAGAATCTATAAATGTAGTGTTGTGCATACTGCTTGTTTAAAAGAAAACAATCCCCAGGACGAACCGAGTACCATAGTCACATCTGAAATTAGCTACAGAGCTGAAATCTGGGGCGCTTTGGGAGCAGTTCACATGAAACTTGTTAGTGAGAAAGGCTGCTTTCCTTGTTCTGCTGCTCCAGACACTGGATTTTAAAAGACAAAATTTAAAAAAAAAAAAAAAAGTCTGTCGACTGCTTTATAATTTTCAGTTGCTGTTAGCTCATATCTATTATCTAATTTCATATTCATATCTAAAAGTTTCAAGTTAAATGTTATAAACAAACATTCGTGTCTAGTAGATTTTGAGAATTTTAATCTTAATGCTGTAGTCCATGATTGGCGAGTACTAACTGCCTTGTGTATACTGTCTTGCAGCTAAGTGATGAGGAGGTAAACATTAAATATTTTGCTGAAATACTTCTGTATTGTAGGGTATATGGTTTGCTGTTAGATATTTAATATTTAGCTGATTGCTGGTACTAATTTTCTCTGAATGCATGTTAATTAAAGCACTACAGTGTTAGGACTAGTAAATTCAGAAACAATCTGTTTTACACAATGTATGATTTTTTTTTCCTTTGGTCTTCTATTATATTGACTCATTTAAACAAACATTAAAATATTTATGTATAGCAGCTGGTGTAAGGGCTTTCTGGGTGTGATAGGATACTTTCGAAACTGACTTGCATGCCTTCACATTATTTGCATGTTGCCTTTGACTGATTTATGAGGCTGCCAGTTACCAATAAACATTTGATATTTTTATTTTAAAAAGAAACCCCCCCAAATTTTGTAATTGTTGTGGTTGAAAAAATTGATAAAATCAAAAGAACTTAAAAAATAAAATAATGGTATTGCAAGGAAATGTTCATTGGAAAAGTCTCAGTATGTGTTTGGCTTTACTTTTTACTGTTTGTAAACTATTTTATTCTTGGAGTGGGGGGAGGGATTTCAGAAACTTTTCCTGATAGGAAAATATGTTTCCTGTTAGGAAATATAAGAATATAACTAATAATATTTAAGAACATAATTAATAATATTCCATAATATAAGAATACTGTCCTTCTGGGAAACTGGCAGCTGCAGAGAACCTGTACTACAGACAACTGTGGAAATACTTCTTTTTTTCTGAACAATAGCTAGAACTATATACTTTCTGAAACTGGCCATAGTGATTGGTTTTTGTAAATCTGTGATAAACATGCTAGATTTCCTTGTAGTATTAGATTTACAGTAATTCCTTGGGGGGGGGGAAAAAAAGCAATTACTAGCAATTTGAACAGCTAGTTGGAACCCAGTGAAGTGTTTAGCACAACCTGCATAGAAGTTCAGAGTATTTCCTGGTAATAACAAGGTAACTGTTTTTTGGTGGGGTTTTTTTTTTTTCCTTGTAATATTTTCTTTTTCCCCCACTTTCAGCCAAACAGATTGAAGCAGTTTGGCTTGACAGCGAGAGCTTCTGAAGAGAAAGTACCTCCTGAAAAGCCTAGGGTGGCTTTCCAAACTCCAGAGCCCATCCCTTCAGCCTCTCCAGTGAATGAAGACTTTCATGGGAGGCTAGCCAGCACCCTTGGTGAAATAGCAGCTCCCAGGTGCTCCACCATCATGTTCGTTTTGCATGTTAAATAAGATTGCTGTTAAGCATGTTAGTGCTGCTAAGGTAGAGCTCACTAGTGCTATTGATCATTCTCCAAGGAACTAATGAAGGTAGAAATAATATTTTGACAACTAACAGAAAACTGAACTACTTTTCACTGAAGTAAACTTTTAATGTCTATTTCTTCACAGTTTATTTTAAAAAATCTGGGGAGTCTGGATTATTTGTGAAGATCACGCTCTCTTAGTGGATGTTTGTGTAGAACAAGGGTTGTGCTGTAGGAATGATGTCCATGTCGTGAGGATGCTTGGGCATGTGCTCAGCAGTGTCCGCAATGTTAGAAGGCTGGCGTGGCATGACTTGGACGCCTATCAATTCAGCGATCTCCCAGGGCTGAGCTCAGGAGTGCAGCGTAGGCAAGGACAGCTTCCACTGGATGCTGTGATTGAGACCAAACCATTGCGGGAGAGAGGAGCTTCAGGCATGTGGCTGAAGCGGTGCTGTGCTGCTTGCCATTTGACCAGAGACTAATCCTTGGCTCGTTTTATTTACTGTTACTGATGTAACCAGTAAGTATCATTAACTGAACCAGTTAAAGAAGGCGTGCTTGTTTTACGTTCTTTAGATCTCTGGAATAGTGTGGGTTCATGTACTACTCCCTAAGGGAAGGTTAATTTCCTACTGAGGCTTATTGTATATTGTTCCTGCATGGCACTAATGAGAGGTCTTGGGCTGAGCTAAATTTGGAATTTCCCCATAGTGAATTGTGAATTCTCTCTTTTTTTTTTTTCTTTCTTCTTTGTATGATCTCTCTTCAGTTGTATGACAAAACAAAAAAATTCTGTTTTCTTTAAGGCTTGCACTGATGCCACCACCCCCACCACCAGTTTTGACAGACAACTACAGAACGCCTTATGATGACGCATATTACTTTTATGGCGTTAGGAATCCTTTGGATCCCAATCTTGCATATTGTAAGTTGATGATTTTAGGTGGATTGGTGGTTAGAGTAATTCAGGTGACTGCTTTTAATCTAGTTAATTGATTAATAATGTAGAACTAGTAACCGCAATTTAAACCCATTTCTTAGACATGTACTGAATGAAAAGTAGCCTTTTTTCCAATACTGGCTTTGAATGAAGTAGTTTTCTCCAACTGCAAAAGTGGCTATGGCTTCCAGAAATCTTGTTCATTGCTTGAGCAAGCTCTAGTCTCAGGTACTTAGCCATTACTTCTCCCAGATAATTTTCTTTATCGTTTAGATAATAAAAACATTATTTCTGAAATTAATTAAATTGTGTTATAATTGATTACATGTTTCGGCATTGTTACAATTTTAGATACAATTTTAACTATTTTTAAAGGAACTGTATGAAGTAATCAAACTTTTTATTTTAAGAACTTGTTTTTTATTTAAACTTTGACTGCCTCATGATGATTTCACAAGTGAAACAGTGTGGGGAGGGACTGGATTGTGTGGTGTTTGATTTTTTTTCTTGTTTTCTGTTTTTGCCTTTTTAGAGGAAAAAACAGAAATAATTTTAAAAAGTTGTTGTGCTACCTTCATAGAAAAGTTAAAAGAGGAAAAAAAAAGGTGCAATAATAACTTTTTTACTGGGTGATTTGAATGCAATTTGTATCCACTGGGGAATTTCAGGAATACTAGAGATTTAAGATCAAAAGTTTTTAGACTTTGTTTTTTTTTTTTTTTCCCTCCGGTGTTAACTTTCTTCCTATCTTGAAATGTAATAGGTTGGGGGGGAGGGTCTAAGTTCCAGGCACCTTTTTTACCTTTTCTTCGTAATCTTATTTTCAGACCACAATTTTAGGTCACAGAAGTTTGGGTTTTTTTGGGGGAGTTGTTAGATGTGGGGTTTTTTTGGTGCGTATGTTTTATTTTGTTGGGTTTTTTACCCTTGTATCTATATAACCTCTAGGGTAAAATGGCTTACAGTGTAGAATATTGAAGAAACTAATAGTTAAAATTCACATTACAAGAGTTAGGTTGTCTTAAAGCTTGTTGTCACAAACTGGAATATTGCTAGGGCTTAAAATTTGCAGGCATGAAATTGTTTGAGATGCATCACTTAGTGTCTTGAACATGAGCAGTAATATGCACGGTAATTCAAGCCCTGCTGTGGCAGAGTGCTGCAGGTCCTGTTTCAAGAAGAGTACAGATGCCAAACGTAGTGCATTTCTGCAGCAGGCAATGGGGCTCTCCTCACAATAGAGGACACATTTGGAATGCACGAGGAAAAGCGTTACATTAATAGAGTTAGAATTTCTTTTTGTTAGTTCATTGTGGAATATGTGGATGAAGACATTTGTAAATTTTAAAGGGATTTAGTTGAATCTGAGAAATAGATTTGTACCTTAGCATTGTATTTCTAGCTCTAGAGGGCATGAAGGATTAGCTAAGTTTGTTACAGAAGTCGAGAGTCCTGTTTGTAATTCTGTAGTCATAGAGTTTGAGCAGTGAGCTCTGCTTTTCTAAGTAATGGTGAATGTTTATACTTGAGCATTCAAAATTTAAAATAGTGTTTTTTGTTTTTTGGTTTTTTTTACTGTATAGATGGTACAGGTATGATGGGAATGCAACCCACACCTAATCTGGATCCTCCTTTAGGCCAAGCCCCAGTAGAGCAATCTGTGTAAGTATTATCTGTATTCATATTATTTGTTCATATTGATCTGTATTGATATGCTTTTCATGCTACGAATATTTTGCTGACAACGGATATGCCTTTGAAAGAAAATGTGTTAAAGACAACTCTTCATACTTCTAATGAAGAATTTCTATATAAACCATAATTCAGTGAACACCTATTTGTATATGGATTTATGAAAATGAGATTATAAACTGCCAGGCTGTAGAAAACAACAGCTCTTAAAAATTTCATGCAGGACTTTTTATTTATTTATTTATTTTTATTTTCCACCTTCTGCAACCTATGATGTTTTTCTTTAATATGTGTGGTTTTCTGATTCAGAAGTAACACTGGACGGAAGAATACAGGAGACAGACAAAGAAGCATAGGAGTATTTTCTGAAGAAAAAATAAAGCCTTCCAAAGAGGCAACATTATCTTACCAACAAGAATTACAACAGCAGGTACTGAGTGATAAAGCTTCTGATGCTTTCCTCTTTTACTTTTTAACATATAGTGATTCTAACTGTAGTACTCTTTCAAACATATTTATTTAGTTTGCAAGTCAAAAGCTTTCTTAACTCTCCCTCCCTTCATCACTTCCTTCCTCCCATTCCTCTAACCCAGCTTCGTCTGATTTTAGCTCTTCAGGTGGACAGTAAGGTCTTCAGGTTTTTTTTTGTCAGAGACAGAGCGAATGTTAAGACTGACAGCAAACAGATTGGTTCCAAGCAAGGAGTTTTATATAATTATTTTCATAAACATAAGAAACTGCATCTTAAAAGCAATGAGTTGTATTGCTCTGATACTCCTGTTGTAAGATTGCTTTTGAACATTACTGTTGTAATTATTGGGAGCGCTCCAATTTCAATAAATTCTTCATGATCATTTGGATACTAATTCAGAAGCTTCCCTGATGTTCCAGTGTGTTTGTAGGTGGTGTCTTACCTCTTTTCAGCTATCTTTTGGATAGACTAGACAAATTTCTTCAGTCTCTTGTCTTCCAGTAGACGTCTTAGTCCCCTAGTTATTTTAGTTGCCTCTCGCTGCTGCATCTTGTGGGAGTTTATAAGATGTATTTGACCATAATAAGACATGTTATTTTAGAAGAGATTTTGCCAGAACCCAGTTCAGTAGCATTAACCTTTTCTTATCTTATTCTCCTCTATGTATTTCTTCAGTGGAGGTAAATAATTGCACTGAAAATATGCTAGTTCTAATTATGATCATGCACAGGGATAAATCAAGGTCAAATTAAGAATAAAAAAAACATTTAGGAAATTACGCTTCTCTGAAGGCATTTTCTTAATGCCATTAATGTTTTAAGAAGTAAATTTTTTCTTGCCATATGAGAGAGTGCACAATTTGACATAAAGGTCTAACAAATGTGGCGCGATACAGTCTTTCAGAGTTGTTCTGCGGCTTATGGTTGAAAGTGAACAGAATATGTTCTGCTTTTTTTTTTCCTATAGACAAACCTGACTGACCATTTTTGTAAACAGTTGAAGGGGCTAGGTGGGTCTTTGTGTTGACTCATATCTCCTATGAAGTTATCTGACTACTCGATAAAGGGAACTTTTCTCCAATGCACAGAAGAAATAAATTTATGAGAAATACATTAATATATTTCAACTACATAAATAGCAGCTAATGTTTGAAAAGCTTTGAGAAGTTGGACTTTTTTTTAACAGCTGTTCTCTTTATAACTGCTTCATTAAATTATTAGGAGACTTAGGTATATAAATCTAACCTGATTTTGAAGAGAAGGAAGAACAAACCATGTGAGCAGTTCTGTGTTGATGACATATATCATCACATACTACTGCAGAAAACTTTTTCTTGAGTGGTTATAGAATTGTGTAGCGTTGTACTAGGGCATTTATTGTAAAGAGCCTTTCTTTATGTCATGTCATCTCTAGTCTCAGTTTTGGTTAAACAAAGTATACCAGGTTGAGAGAAGCAAGTGCTGTAATACTGTAGAATTTTGCCTGTTTGATTTTCAGACAGTATAAGTTTCTGCATGACGGGATCCACGGATATGGGACTTTAGATCTACTGGAAGTGTCTGATGTGAATGTTCCTGGAACTTCGAGGTCTTATAATGTGTATCTGTATGTTTCTCTGCTGTGATGCACAACTGTACATGCACGTTTTGACAGCAGTATTCAAGGCACTGTCTGCAGTATAATCAGTGATATGTTTTCAGTATGCTTGATGTAGATGGGGGAATGCTAGCGTTCAGCTTGCTCTGTTATCTTTCTGTTAAAATTATACTTAATGTGGTATTTTCATGCAGATGACTTTGATTTGTTTGGTTTTAGATAAGAGAGAGAGAGGAACAACGCAGACAGGAGAGAGAGGAGAAGAAACGCTATGAAGCCAAGTTACAAGCAGAAATGAGGAATTATAACCCCTGGGGAAAAGGTGGTGGTGGTGCTCCTCTCAGAGACGCAAAAGGAAATCTGATAAGTATGTTTACCAAAATTATGGATTGTGTTTTTAAGATCGATGTTTTCTTGCTCTTGTAAAGGCTCTATTCAGATATGTTATTCCTTGTTATTCAGATGTATTATACCTACATGGGTAGCCCTTTATTGGCAAATAGAAGTAGGTGTTTCAAGCAGATGCACTCTAGGAATATGTGAGTAATTACTTTGATTTCAGCAGAATCATTCAAAGAGTACAAGTTGAACAAAATGGGAAACACAGGATATGTCAACTATAAATGAATTCAAAATGCAATAGTAAAGGGAGAAGGAAGAAAACAAGCTGTTAGAACCAGCTGCGGTACAAATATGCTGAAGTTTTACTTACACATTTTCCAGGAGCAGGGTTTTTTGCTGGTTTTATTTTTTTTAATCCCTTGTAGGCTTAGAAAGCTCTATGTCTGACATGGAAAATTGAAGCATGTTTGAATAAATACATAAAGCTAAGTGGAATATTTAAATTCCCCCAAGTAACACTGCTGGTAAATGGCTGTATAAATAGCAGTCAGGCAGCAGTAATATTTTTTAAGATTTGTTTTTTTCCCAAAATGCTGTTTTATGCAAGACAGGACTGTAGTGAGCTGGGAGATAGCTATGATTCAGGCAAGTTGTTCAGCCACACCTCCAGTAAATCAGAGATAGATAGATTATAGATAGATTAAAATTCAGTGTGGTGGGTTGACCCTGGTGCCCACCAGAGCCGCTCAATTACTCCCCCTCCTCAGCTGCACAGGGGATAAAAATAAAAGGAAAGGCTTGAGGATCAAGATAAGGGCAGGGGAGAGATCACTCACCAATTACTGTCATGGGCAAACCAGACTCAACTTTGGCAATTAATTTAAGTTATTACCAGTCAAATCAGATAATGAGAAATATCAGGCATTAGCCTGACTCCATCAGAAATCCAGCAGCCTTCACTCACCCGCGGCCTGGAGGGCAGACAGGAGAGTGGGAGCAGTGTGGAGGCCTGTTACAGGCCTGGGGATGTGGCATGGCTTAGCCTGGCTGGAGGCCAAGTGCCCACCGAGCTGCTCTATCACTCC